TCTCTAGAATTAATTGTTCCTTCCTCTTTGTGGGTGCCCTTGAGAGAGCAGAAGATTAGTGGGGGCACATTAGAGTTGTGCAACTGCTGGAATTTAGTGCCCTGAGGTTAGAGACAGTACAAAACAGGGGAAAAAAAAAAAAGAACTCTGCTTAGCTTTTTGTTTGATTTGATTGGCTTCTCCAACCCACATTGGCGGCTTGGAGATTCCCACGTTTGTGGCTGGTTGTTTTTCTTCCTGGTACAGACCTTGTTAAGAACGTTTTCCAGGGCGGAGCTCCTGGGGTACCAAAGTTGAGGAGGCATTCACTCTCAGCCTGCTCCTGAGAGCAGATGCCTCTTTAAATTTTGCACCCCAGGTGCCTCATTGCCTCACCCTAGACTAGACCCTGCGGCTTTCTCCCACCTGGAAATAAAACTTCCTGCCTTGGCCTCTCCTGTGATCTGTCTTTGTGGGCAGTCTATTTGTTTGCACCTCAGTGTCCCAGGTCTCTCTTCTATACCTCAGGGAACAATGAAGAGATCACAAGGCAACAGCAGGTAAACTTTGTGTCATCCACTGGGTGGGACAAGTAGAAACTGCCCAGAGAGCTTTTTGTTTCCTTTAAATTGCAGCATTTGAGGCTTAGAAGAGACTTTAATGATCATATAATTTTCTGTGCCTGCTAATATTAAAGATTCTGAGGCTTTATGTTTATTTATTTGTTTGTTTTACTCTGGAGTTCAGAAGGGCTATTAACAAAGGTGTTTCTGTAACAGGTGGTTTAGAGAGGAAAAGTCATTCCCAGGACTGTCACTTGTTGAGAAGACAGTAGAATCCACATAACCAAATCAGCTAAAAACTGGAGCTCCCAGCGATCAGAGCAAAGGTAATAAAAGAGTCAATTGCAGCTAAACCAATGTGCGGTGGAACTCTACATTTCTGCAATTGGGTTCAAGCAGATATCTCCCTGCCCTTAAGGAATAGATGGGACCAAAAGTTTAATACTAAAATAAATAATTTGAAGTTAAAATTATGAGATCTCTGTAGGACCAGTTTGAAAGACACCACAATAAATAAAGTCAAGTAGAGGATGTAATTCTATATCTATGCTACATTAGACTCTGACATACTATTGCAGTGAGTCTAAGATAGCAGCTTTCCTCCGAATGCCAGCAACTGGGCTCTATATTTAGCTAAGTAAGTTTCTCAATCCTAAGAAATCCATTCAAGCATGACAGTAACGAATGAGCAGTTTTTTAATATGTATCTGCTCCGTATATTGTGATCTAATAACATTCAGGACTTGTAACCTTCAAAGCATTTTATTTGTACTTGATAAAAATATTTTTCACCGCTCCATCTAAGTCTAAAAAATGTCATTGTAATATTTTATGGGGGAGGATCCGATATCAGACATTAGTGACTCAGTGTCAACATAGCCAGCTTTGGACCTAATCCTTCTGGGTCTCCAGTCCAGTAACTACTTCATATGGACAGCTCACTCCCTCTGCCAAGAAATGAGTCAATTAACTAATCTGGTAGCAGAAACATCATTCTACTAATTGAATTCTTTTTGTCCAATTAATACTACAAAAACTAAAGTTCATCACACTGGAGCCATCAAACAGAAATGCTTCAATTTATGTTTATGTACATTTCAAATATACATGTTAAGTTTCTCAGCTGCATGAATTTATTTCTACTTTTTCTGGATTTCCCAAGAATCCTGACCTTACATAAATATTTTTAAAGAGGTAAATTAATTCAAAAGATTAGATAAGATGGTTAAAATACCATCACAATTAATTTTAATTAAACATCCACAAAGGACAATTCAGAGAAAAATCAGTTGTGAAAGAGGCTGCCAGTATTTGTCAAGTAATGAAATGATCTGTCTTCTAAAATTTCCAATTATACTTCAGAGAAATTAGTAAATATCCCACCTGTAAAATTACCAATAAATCAAGCTACAGATTATTGTTCAGATTTTACCTAATAAAATATACTAGTGCTTCTCTTATTAGAGTTTTATTTTTATGATTCTAAATGTACAGGATGACACAACTTCTTAAATAATTTCTGCTGATGTTTCATTTCCTTTGTAGCTATCAAAATTATTGTCCAATTATCATGACCTAACATAAAATTTTCAACAAAGTTGGCATTTCATTTATAATGTGATGCTAGCAAGTCTACTTATTAACTACAAATTCAAAACATCATGAAATCGAATATAAAATACCAGTCTTATTTATTAGCCATATAGCAAAGACTTACTGCCTTCTTTTAACTGTATAATTTTTCATCCAAAACAAAGACACTTTCAGCTTAGTCATCAGAAAGGTTCAAAGATGAAACTCCTCTTTCTAAGAATAAACAGTAAAATGAATCAGAAAATATTGATTTAATGAGGGACCTATGTTCAGGTGAATCAGGCTAGAAGTCAAGTACGAGAGGACTTCTGTTTGTGGGGAGAGCAGCAACTTCTCTCTCACACTTATTTTAGCATCAAGCCGTATGTTAATATAGGAATTTAAAAGAGCAGGCCAAAATAGTGGAAAGGAAGCCTACCATACAAAAAAAATGGCCTTGTCTCTCATTTTGAAATCAAAAATTGAAGGTACGAATGAAGAGCTAAAGCAGCCTTTTACCAATTAACTCAAGGGCAAACACTTGAGAGGAAACTGGAACATAAGTTAAATCAGTTTGGGGTAGTAAATTGGGAACTCTAGATTTTTTCTTTTAAGGTACCTCTACCACCGATTCATTTGCAAAGTGGGCTTTCTGCAATTACGGGATCAGTGCAAAGTGTTAAATGTTATCATTCAAGAAGCAGAGTTTCTGTCCTAATAATCCAAGATTGCTTCAGCAATTTCGTAGAAAGTCACTGTCACTCTGGCCAAATAAATTAACATATCTACATATCATTTTGCTTTTTTGTAAAATACTGGTCTCTATAGAAGCTGTTGGGAGCATTTACTAGACAATAATTGTAAAAAGCTTTACGAGTCTGATAGAGCAGTTGTGCTCTAAGTAATAATGATTATAAATGAGGCATCCTTCAAAAAGAAACTACTCAGGTCCATCTGAGAATGATTGAGACTCAGAAAGAAACTTTGACTCAAATATTCTTGAGCAGTTAAGGTGTAAGGGGTGAAAGTCTTTCTTTACCTCACTTTTGGAAAGATACATGGGAAAGAGAGAATATAAAGGAAATTGTTTATGTCCTAAGTAATGATGCTTTCTACTAATGCCAGTGTGTGTGTATGTGTGTGTTTAAATAAGACTAGATTTTAACTGAGACTGTATTTTAAACTTTATTTGGAAAATTTGCTGGTTTTGACCACACAGGATGTGAGAAATTAGTTCAGATAAGATATAGTTATTGTCATAAGGAGAATATCAGTATTAATTAAGTCCAGTGAGAGAGATCTACAAAATAGGTTGGGATGGAAGGAGCATGGACTTTGGAGTCAGATAGGCCTGAGCTTGAAAAATGGCTCTGCCACTTGCTGGCTGGATGGCTTTGGACAAATTACTTAACCTTCTGAGTCTCAGTTTCTTTGTCTGCAAAACAAATAATGCCTCTCTCATATGGCTTCTGTGAGGATTAAATGAGATTTCCTATGAAAAGTACCTTATTCAGAGGCTAGCTGTCCATTCGGCACTTAAAAATAGTAACTATTCTCTTTTAACTGAATCCTTTACCTAAGTGATCTTGTATGAGAGAATCTTGTCCAGCGATTCATTAGCACTTTTACATAATTGGAGCAGTTCAATACTTCCACCACTACTAGTGCTATAGATGACTCTTAAAGAGTAATTGTTCTTTTCATTATAGATTTTAAGGTTATATTAGTACTTCATGAATTTTATACAGGATACCCATTTTGTAAGTTTTCTCAAAGCAAATATCGTTTGTATGTATATATAAATATACACATATATAATAAATATACATATTTCTTTATTCTTTTTTTTTTTTAATAGAAAGCCGTTGGCTGCCTGTGGAATATTTTATCTGTTTTTAGGATGTTAACAATCAGAAATCTGAGCTCTCATCCAGTCTAGAAATTTCTCTTCGCAGCTGAGAAAACTAAGGCCCAGAGAGTTTGGATAACTTGTGTGGGGGCTAAAAAAAATTAATACTTTTTCTCTCACCTTCAAGTTTTTCTAGCTGAGCTAATAATCAAATAAACAGAGACAGGTTAACAGAAGAAAATCAAATGTTTAATATGTGTGCATGTGGAATTCACATAAGTATAAAAATTCCAAGGGCGGGAGGCAACATTGGGTATATATGACATTTTTGGAAAAAGGAGAAAGGGGGTGGGGGTAAACAGGGTCTTAGATTTCAGAAGTGAGAATGGGCAATTTACAGGTAGTTCAGGAAGAGCAAACATATATGGCAGGCAAATTCTTGGTGGGTAACTCAGAAACAATGGGAAATAGTGGGTATCTAACTAACAGGCCCCTGCCTGATGTCCTCTTATTTACCACACTTAATACAAATCAGGCTAAGACAAACATCCTAAGATTTCCTTCCTAACGTAGGTTTTCTATATGAATCTCTTGGGCAGCAAAGTGGAGAGGCTCAAAGATTCTTTCTAAGTCTTCTTTCTTAATAAACAGCTTAGAATCAATATCCCAAAAAAGCAGCATCAGGGGCGCAAAATTTTGGTTCCCTGCACTTGTCAAAAATAACACAGTGCTCTTGACTATCAATCCTGTGTTACTTTAGTGCCTTTAAATAAAACTCAAAAGGCAATACAACGTACTGCTGCTTTAGAAATAAAATTCCTGATCAGAGATTTGAAACTTCTCCTTGGCAGGAATTATATGTATACATTGTTGTGTTCACACAGGGCCTAGCAGAAGAGTGAATGCTCAGTACATATATTTCAAATGAATTAGTGGATTTTTTCTTAAGTGTGTGTGGCTTTTTCTTTTGAGGGCAGGTATAGTTCAACAAAATTGGATTTTGCTGTATATAATAATTAGAAGCTACATTCTGTTTGTGATGACATAAGCAAATGAATAATGGAACAGTTATCTGGAATTTTAAAAAATGATCTGGCATTAGATAAAGTAAGACTGACTGCCGGCATGGATGATACATACTAAATGTTTGTTTTTCTAAAGAGTCAAGATCGTGTTTTTGTATTTAAATGAAACAATTGCCTGAAATTTTCACATTTCTTTCCCATCTACACTGATTGAATCTTGGACTGTGTCTCTGTGATGAAAACTGGAAAATAATGTAACCCCATTAAGATATTGATGTAATTGCAACATAAATGAAAGAATCAGTTTACAATTGTAACCGGAGAAGTAATACCTATTGACTTGCAAAGCAATGTCATATTTACATGATAAATTTACACAGTAAAGCCATTCCAACTGTTGAATTATTGCACAGGCATTAAAATTCACGATCTTGAAGATAATGTGGCAACATGGAGGGAAATGTTTGTGTTCTGATATTCCACTAGAAAATCAGTATTCATTGTCACATAATTTTATAGAAGAGAATTCTGCACAGAAAAGGAACAAAAAGGAAATATACCAAAATAATAACAGTAGCTGTGTTAGGGTGGTGGCAGTGCTTTTTCTTATCTCTAATTAAATTACTTCTGTAACAGAAAAAAAAAATTTACAAGTACAAAGAAAATGCATTCTATAAAAGAAAGTAAACATCTGTTATTTATGGCAATCCCAAATCTTTTGGAGAAAAATCACCCCACAAGTTGATAGTTCCCTACTTTGTGAATTCTGTCTTCCAGAAGTAAATTCTAAAATTTAACATTTCCTAATCTTCCTAGCCTCTGCCCAAGTCTAGGGCGAGGTCCTATAATTCAATTGCTGGCTCTCAGTTGCACCCGTCAGAAACTACCTGAAAAATATACATGGCCCAGATACCCATTCTGCTGACACTGGTAGCTTCAATATCATGGTTCTGGGGACAGCAGTGGGAGCAGTAGTTTCTCCATTGCAACAAAAGTAGTTTGGTTCTGGGATCAGTGGAAACTCACCGTAGAACCTGTTCCTCCAGCCTTTCCTATGACTACCTGGACTTCCTAATCTCCTTTAATAAGTCCTTTCTCATTTAAATGATTTAGAATTGACCCTTCTTTCTACAAATAAGAATGTTAACAGAAAAGCCTAACAAAACTAGAATTCACCTAAGAAAAGATGAATGTGGGGTGACATAATTGAAAATTATTTTAAACTTCAAAAGAACAATGTGATCAAATAAAAGATCTTTTATGAAGTAAATGTCATGAGTGTCACTTCTAGGCAGAGCATTGATGAGTTGGTGTTTGACCATGCAGCTCTCTTCTTAGGAACTATGGGGGGCCTCCTATTTGAGCTGATGCAGCTACAAGACAACAGATTCCCCAAAAGCCCAGGTACTTGAGAGACTGTGTGGAAGAGAACTCCCCAGTGATCTAAACAGGACATATAATGTCAGCAAGAAATAATCTCTGTTATGTTAGGACACTGAGATTTGGGAGTTAATTTGTTACCATGGCATAACCTAACCTAGCCTGATTAATCCACAATGGTATCTAAAAGAAGATGTGTTCAATGCTCAAAATAAATAAACATGTAAGTTTAATAGCCTTGTATGCGTAGAGAATATTTTATCTAATAAAAATAAGTCAAATAAAGAATAGATTAAGTATTTGCTGTCTTTTTGCATCAAGTAAAAATATCTGGGTTTACCTGATGACAAAAATATAACACATTATGAAAACCCTAAATATTTAATGATCTTAAAGACAACAAATAGGTTATGCTTTTCAGTTCTCAAACTGTAAAAAAAATAGAATTTGTGACATATATTAATTTCCTTAAAATAACCCCCCAAAAAGCAGTATGTAATAAGAAAATCATATTTATTTATTGTGAAATTCTTGATTGCTTGCAGAGAAAAGTGTGAGGGCACTGCTAACAGGATTTGTGGAAATTGCTTCTGGCAAAACTAAAGAAGATGTGAATGCAACGCCCATTTGAATAGATTCAAAAATGTCTGCTTGCATTTGTACCTCTTTTCCTTCTCAAATGTCTATTTCAGCCTGTACAACAGTAGTTTTTTTTCTGCTCAGTAGTAAGTGACCTTAATTTCATAATATGTATGATGTTCTTTCTCCTGAGATAGCCACTGACAAAGTTATTTTCTATTTGTCCATTATAATTTGCACCACCCTGTCTGCACTGAGTGATCCAGGCCACTGGGCCAACACTGGCAGAAAGAATTATCATCACAATTCTGTTGTTTGAATGTTCCCAGTATTCAAATGCCCTAATAAATGACACTCTACTATGTTTTAAAGACTATAAAGGGTTTTTGAAAGAGTTGGGATTTTTTGTTTTGTTTTGTTTTGGTTTGTTTTTTTCTATAGCACAGAAGATTAAAAAAGAGAATGCGGGATTAAAGTAGGAGAGATTTCTATTGAACATAAAGAAAAACTTTCAGACTGCTAGAATAAAAAGTACCAGAATGGATTATTGAGGAAGAATGCCTGATCTTTTGTCAGGCACGCCATAAGAAAAGATGAACTTTCTAAAAGTGGAAGACTAGGTCAGATACCTTCTCATACTCCTTTCTAGTTCTGTGGTTTTATGATTGTAAGACTAATATCTCATCAGAATTCTCTTGGCTTCTCTTGTTTTCATTTATATCATTCTGTGTCTCTCTTATCTGTCATTGATTGATGTCCTTGGCCAAATGAACACACACACACACACACACACACACACTAGTTCTGTGGTTTTATGATTGTAAGACTAATATCTCATCAGAATTCTCTTGGCTTCTCTTGTTTTCATTTATATCATTCTGTGTCTCTCTTATCTGTCATTGATTGATGTCCTTGGCCAAATGAACACACACACACACACACACACACACACACACACACGAATGCACACACGAATGCACACACGCACGCATGCACAGACGCACCTGGAAGGGTAGGGCAAATAGTTCTTAACTCAGGTATTCCCACAGAGAGATTCCAAACTGTATGAGCCTAGTAGAAGAAAGAAGTTCACCTTTGCCCTCCTTATTGAACTGATTCATCTCTGAGCATGGTCCTTGAGCATGGGCCTCACTGACCAGACCTTGAGGGTATTCCCCCCACAGACGTTCTCTAGGCAATGGAATGTGTTCTCATAGACCGCTATCTCTCATCACACCGCTCCCTTCTCCTCTCCCCTCACTGTGCTTTCACTTACTTCTTTTCTCCAGCAGTGACCCTTCCCCAACATTAGCAAGTCTTTGTCCACCTCCTAAGTCCTAGAAATTTTCTCAGTCCCTGCCAGGGGCTATGAGTCACAACTTTTCTTTTTTTCCACCTGTTCCTGCTGCTGGATGGGAGAAGATGGGAAGGCTTATATCCTGAAGGTGGAAGTGTGGTTAGAAGGACATGGGCTGCAGAGATTTGTTTGCTATTTCTGTTCTTAACCCTCTCTGCTTTGGCCATCCCATTTAAAAATTCAGACATCTTGCATCATATTGTGAATCTCCTGCCGATAGCCCTCAACAGGTCCATATAGGGAGTCATATTCCCCTGCTGCTATAATTTAGGAACTTACCGATCAACGATCAAATGAGCCCCACTTTCCTCCAGGCCTTGTGTAACATTGCAAGGTCCTCTTTACTGGTCTTGGGACTAGCCATTGTCACTTACTAAAAACTGAAGGAAAGGCTACCTCACCATACATGTAAGGTATTATGTAAGTTGCAGAGGTTGGCAAACTGTGGCTATGGCCTGTGAGCCAAATCTAGCCAACCACCTGTTTTATAAGTCCTTTTGTTGGATGTAGCCATGCCCACTATTGTCTGAGTGCTTTTGCTCTACAACAGCAAAGCTGAGTAATTACAGCAGTGACCACATGGTCCACAAAGCTTAAAATGCTTAACTATCTGGCTCCCTATAGAAAAAGTTTGCCAACCCCTGATACAGTGTATTACATCTAAAAGGAAT